TTGCCATTCGGACCGATCAAGTCCATCAATATGTCTTGGGATCCCGTTACGCAGAAACACAAGGGCTTCGCCTTTGTTGAATACGAGATACCCGAAGCCGCGCAACTTGCTTTGGAACAAATGAACGGTGTCATGATCGGTGGCCGCAACATCAAGGTAGCAGGACGTACCTATATAACGAATTTCCTGTCCCCCAGCAATCCTATCATCCCGCCGGAGGTCGGCAAATTTTTATTTAGTCCTTTATCCAATACCTACGATTTTCGAGCAAACTGCATCTTAACTGCAATTTGCTTGAAAATCTTATTTCATTAGTATACTTTTGCTACGTATACATTACTTCGTTTTTCATTTGTTTCTTAAGTTACATCCCATTACACATGTTCTATATATTATATCGCTTCCTTACTCCAAAAGCTACACAATTCAAAAAATTAAATTTCTTAGAAAAGAGGGAAAATTATCTTTTAATTTTACAAAAAATTATTGATTAATCAAAAAATATTTTTAACATGATGAAATGTCATTAAAAAAAATTGTTTTTTAAAATTGTGACAATTTTGATAATTTAAAATAAATACTTAAAGTGTAATGATTTGTTATAAAATTGAATTAGTTTACTTTTGACAGAGTAATGTCAATCAAAAGTAAACTAACTTAATTATGTTAATTCGAAAATTGTGCTTTTTTAGTTGTCACTTTTGAAATAAGTGGCGATATATTTATTTAACGAATAATTTTGCAATAATATTAACGCAACATTAGAGAGAATATATCTTATAAATTATCTTTCTTTTTATATTTATCTCAGGTCGTGGGACGTCCGTCCAATATGCCACAAGCACAATCGGTGATTGACGAAATCACCGAGGAAAGCAAACATTATAATCGCATTTATATCGCATCGATACATCAAGATCTGACAGAAGACGACATCAAGTCGGTTTTTGAGGCGTTCGGGCCAATCACGTATTGCAAACTTGCGCAAGGCAGTTCTCCACATCGACATAAGGGTTACGGCTTCATCGAGTACGAGACAATGCAGGCTGCGCTGGAAGCTATCGCCTCCATGAACTTGTTCGATCTGGGTGGCCAGTATCTGAGAGTAGGCAGAGCTATAACGCCACCGAATGCGCTCATGGGACCACCTAGTGGTACCAGTATGATGCCAACCGCAGCCGCGGTGGCTGCAGCAGCTGCAACAGCAAAAATTCAAGCGATGGACGCAGTTGCCAGTAATGCCGTCGCGTTAGGCCTTACTAAACTTGGAGCTACTGCACCACCAATCCTGAATCAAAGTTCGTAAATTCGTAATTCTTGCATCTACACTGAATCCAAACGTTGCAAAAGAAGAATTACTTTTATGTGTTTATCACTATCTATTTTTATTATAGCACTTCCTGTAGGTGTAGTACGACCTACTATAGCGCCCACAACAATAATGGCACCACCAACGGTAGCAACGGTAGCACCAGTGATACCTCCACCTGGCATAGCTATACCACAAACCTTAACGCGGCCGCCCGCTATTATCCAACCGATTCCTGGTCAACCAGTTGTTATACCACCTCCCGCTGTTGTCGCGCCTACGATTGTCGGCACGCCAGTTGTAAGTATCCAATGTATTAAAATAAAAAGTATTAAAATTAAAAAAATATTGAATCGTCAACGTGTTAATTATGAAAAATCTAATTGCTTGTTAGATACCAGTTACAACCACTGCAAATTCCGACATTATGAGGCGAGCGCAGGAACAAGCGGCTCATCAAAAACAACAGGAAGAATTACAGAAGAAACTCTTAGAAGAAACGGAACCGCAGACATTGCAGCAACAAGAGAATATGTCAATTAAGGGCCAGAGTGCGCGTCATCTCGTAATGCAAAAGCTTATGCGTAAAGTCGAATCTCGAGTCGTTATTTTAAGAAATATGGTAGCACCGGAGGATGTGGACGAGACCCTGCAGGAGGAAATTCAGGACGAGTGCTCTAAGTTCGGTGTGGTTGTACGAGTTATTATTTATAAAGAGAGACAGTCCGAGGACGACGAAAACGCGGAAGTCATCGTAAAGATATTCGTCGAATTCGCTGAAATGAATGGTAAAGTATATCTTTATGTCTCGGTGATAAATATCTCAATGACTCTGAACTAATAAAAACTAGTAATCAATCCTATATTGATAAATATTAATTAGTGGCATTACAAAAGGAATTAACACACTTTTTGATCCGCGTACATATTATACAGTCGCACCATCTGACTGCAGTAAACTACGGCATACAATTATTTTTGCGTTATCAAGCAAAAACGTTTCTCTTATGTTTTTATTTACAATTACATGCAATAATAATAGGTGGTATATATGTCGGTAAGATGATTCCAAATAACATGGCCAATGTATGCCAATTCACTCAATATTAAATGCTTTCCATTATTGACATAAGCCTTAGACTGATGTTCTTATACAGTGCAATATTTTAAAAAATTTGAAAATATAGACTATGTCTTACTCAAAATGATAAGAAGAGAGTGAAAATATGACTGTTCCTGCAAAATATAAAATTTTTTGCAATAATTTCCAGTCAGAAAATAATACATTTTTATTAATTATTTTGATACAAAATATTTAACCTCTTTTTAGTTTATTTTCTTGCTATTATTGATATCTTAATAATTATAAATATATTGTTGATTTTTCAATTAACACATACTTGTATAATGGTTATATTTATGCCCGTTTCTACCACTGCAGTTTAACTTTAATCTTGGTTCAATTAACTTTTCATCTTTTTCTAGTTTTAAGAATAAGAAAAAGATAAAGAGTAAGTTGAACCGAGATTAAAGTTAATCTATATTGAAACTGGCATTAGTTATTGAGACATTTACCTTATATATAGTGTCGTAAATTGATCATACTCTTATCTAAATATGTGAATATTTAGTCTAAATCATTTAGTCAATATCAAGTCTAAATCACACTAATGTATCCTGTACATATTAACATTTGTGTATCATGTAATTATTGGATTAATTTTTATGTTTTCAGAAGCAGAACGTGCAAGAGATTCGCTAAATGGTCGTTATTTCGGCGGACGACTGGTTAAAGGAGAGCTATATGATCAAGCTCTGTTTGACAATAGTGATTTTTCTGGTTGATGCAAAATGCTCTCATTTGGTATATATTAAGTTTTTGTCAATTAAATTCGTATAAGAGACAAAATTTAATGTTGACTGATAGCTTGATCTTCGTTGTTTAAGCTACTATTTATAATGAAATCTAAAGCATCGTCTACAATAATCGCACATGTCGCGAGTAGTAGCATCGCAGGTAAATTTGTCGCATGCCGCAAGAATATCGCTAAATTAGCGTCGACAATAGTCGCAACGATTATTTGCACGCAATTCGACAACAAATTCTAAACGTCAACTTGCTGTGCTGTGATTGGCTGAGCTCATGCGACAGTCGCAGAAAGTTGAAGTTGGCTCAACTCCGTACGACAAGAGCTCTTGCGACTACGACAATCATGCGACTATATGCAACATTTCATACGACATGCGGCACAGCTTGTGCGACTATTGTAGACGAGGCAGGCTTAAGAGTCACATGTTGAAGTCAAAAGTACACGCGATTCACGGCTCTAATCGTACACTAATTTGTAGTGATCAAAGACCTGTTCCTTTTAGTTGAACTTTTGCACCAGTACATCTTTCTTCCTTTTCTCTCCAGGAGGAAAGAAGAGAAAGAAAAAGTTTAGCTAAAAAGAACAGACCTCAAGACGCGAAGTGTAGGAACTGCACAGTGTAAACAGAAAGCGATTCAAATTTATCAAATGTGATTTAGAATGTCTTACATTCATTTAATTCTCCTCCCCCCATGTAAAACGGAACTTTATACCCTATTTCGTATGTACGAATCATTAGTTTCATATCACGGACCGCAATTGCAAACTAGAATCGTAGTATCTTGAGACATAAATATTTCGTACATTTATCCAGTATATAGTACCTTTGTTATAATTTTGTCGAGAATGATTGTATATGAAAGCGATAGATCTTAATTTACATGTATAGAAAAAGATAGACATTAATAATAAATCATTTTACATATACAGAGTGATTCACCTAAGGCTTAACAATTTAATATCCTAAGAATTCTTCAATCAATTTTAATCATTCTAGTCTTGAACTTCATAGATCTTAAACGTATTTAAGAGGATATTCGCTTTAAAAAGTCGGAAAAATAGGATGTTTTAGAAATTTTTTTCCATAAAAGAAACAAATTTACAATTTCGGAGTTTTTGTTGTATCTTTATTATACTAATTATAAATTGAACAGAAGAGCACGATCAATCATAACGGCAGAAAAGAAAGCAGAATAATAATTGCAAAGTTGTGACTGAGCACATTCAGCGAATTTAACAGTTGAATGAGTGCTGCTATTAATGTATGGTTCTAGATCTAAAGTCTGATTGGATAATCCACAAAACTACACCAATAACAGCATCATTTAATTATTGAGTTGCTGAATGCACTCATTAAGCTCACTTTCACAACTCATGGTTAACTCTTTCTAATGCTAGAATTAGAAAGAAATGAGAAATAAGTTGAACCTCGGTTAAGAATTAACTGCGAGTTGTAAAACTAAGCCTAGTCGCGCTACATTTGTTCTCTTACTAGCACGGATACACCACTGTATATCTGTGGATCACATCCATGTTCGATACTATAATTTTATCGATAGTTTGATGAAATAGATGTGGTACCTAATACCAATTTCCATGTTACTAAAAATAGACATTGGTGTACTGATGTACAGGGTTTCGAGAGTTTCATGGAAAAGGCTGGAATGGCTGCTTTCAGATTGTTCTCTGATACAGTCCAGTTTAACAAAAAAATAAAAAAATTTTCAAATAGAATCCTACAACCAATTTTCCATTATCACAATGTTAGAAAACAATTTTTTTTTAATTACTTAGAAATTTCATCAAATTCTTTATTATTTTATTCTTTATTTATTATTCTTTGTAGGAGTCCTTTGGCTTATAATCACTACCAAAACCTTTCATATCTTCATAAACTGGAAAATTTCCCGGAGTAGTTGTATGAGTAGTAGATGATGTGGGAAGATTAGTGGTATCATTTTTTGAGCGATTCTCATTTAAAAGCTTTGCTGCATTCTTCTTCTTAGTTATTGCCAATTGGTAATTAGCTTCTATTTCCTCTCGCGTGGGTGGTTCTTTTCTACGGTACCTCAACCAGGCCTCCCACTCCGCAGGTAACTCTTGCTCGAAGTTTTCTTTGGTCACTGGAACGAAATACCGCGGTGGCCTTTTCCGGGTGGAATGCTGAATATCTTCCTCATAGTACTTTGTGCCAAAATAATCCTCGCCAATCAATTTGCGGCGGGCGAAGCGAGGTTTCAGCGAGGATACAAAACTGTTCCAAATTATTTTCAAGACGCCACGCTCTTTGGCCATGTTATCGCTATACTATAAATAAAGAGAATAATTATATTTTGGACACGTAAAACACATTTAATATTACGTAATAAAATGCCGAGAAAATATTGTTCACGGGGCAGAGCGACACTTTTTTCTGCCAGATTCTTTCGTTTCATGCAAAAACGCGTCGAATGAGCCTAATTTTATCGAAATCGGAGGCGGTGTAGCTATTCTGTATAATTACCAAATATTGAAAAGATCTTATAATAACTCCGACTATAATTTGACAATTAACAGATAACCTAAAAAAACAGCTCTATTTAAACGTGGATGATCTCGAGTAGAATAGCTACGTTACAATTTTTTCGAAAAAATTTTATAATTTTACGTAACTTCTAATCGATACAAATCAATTGTCATTTCATGTATGTACCGTTTGATAAATGTAAAACTGATTATGACTCTTTTTTAGGTTAGAATCAGAGTACTTTCTCTTCTTTTATTAAAAGAATGTTCGGATTCCTATCCAGATGTTCTCAGGATGTCATGTCATCCTTGTTTACGTTCGGTAAATAATAAGTGGTAACAAGGATAGAGTGATACCTGTCTCCTGGGTTGCGTTTAGAGATGGGCGATCTCAAACGATCTGAACGTGAATCGATATTTCGCCCCGATGTATCGACATTTTAAATCGGATTTTTGCTTGGCCGATTAATCAGGAGATCGAGCTTTTAAGCCTAAATTTCGATCTCGATCCACAATGGGTGATTGGTTCGTGACTTCTTAAGACCGTACTTAAGGCGTTGTCTACAATACACGGAGTAAAAAGTAAGAGTAAGAAATTGACCAATCACAGTCGAATGTGAGAAGAATAATTGACTGTGATTGGTCAATTTCTTACTCTTACTTCTTACTCTATGTATTGTAGACAACGCCTAAGACGGTCTTGAATATAAGATCTAACTATAAGTCCGGATCTACAATAGGTGTTTTATGCCTTATACCGTAAGAAATTGACCAATTGGCAATTGCAGTCGAATTCGAGAAGAATAAGCGACTGTGATTCGTCCATTTCTTATGGCGTAAGGCTTAAAACCCTATTGTAGATCCGGGCCAATCCGGGGTAAGTATCGGCCTTAGTATTATGACCACTCACTGAGCGCCCTAGTAGGACAGAGAGATTCTCGGATCTTTCTGTCCTGCAGCCAATCAACAGGCTTGAAAAGCTTTGTCGTACGACACAAAATATCGGCCAGTGTCTGCAATGTAGATATTCCTTAAATCAAGGAGGGAAGTTCGAATTTCGCAACGGTTTTTGTATAGTATACGTTTGCAAGAATTGCAAGTAAATTTATGTCCGCGACGATGCCTCCAAGTGAAATTTGGAAATACTATATAAAAATAGACAAAGCGACAGCACGCTGTAAGATTTGTGGTGTAATAGTGAACAGTTTCGGGAACACAGTGAACTTGTGGAATCACCAAGAAAGAAAACATAACCTTCAACGAGAAAATCAAAAGCGTAAACGCAGTATAACTATATCATCGACATCCTCCAGTACTAAAAGTGATGAAGATCCAGATGTTCCCAGTCCACTGAGTCCACTGGCGACAGAACAGGCATCTAATAATGACATTATTATTTGCTCATCACATTTGAATTTAATTCGATTTATTTTAAACTTATTTTTTATTTTCATCGCACAGATACAGACCATAACAGATTATAATCCTTCTCTTTTATTTAATACCAGTAGTACAAGTACTAGAAATACTAGCACTGTCCTTACAAATAATCCTCCTCCTACAAAGACAGTTAAATCTAACATTCGTAACTTGACATTGATAGAAACTTTACAGAAGGCCAAGCCATTTTCAGGTGAAATACTTAAATGTGTTGTTTTTGACAACTATATTGAAACAGCATATTTTTATCTATTTCTCTTTCATTTCAGAAAGTGGACATATGACTAGAACATTAAATGAAGCTCTGATGTTTATGGTTATAAAAGACCACTTACCTCTTGACTTTGTTGAAGGGCCTGGATTCAAATACTTTTCAAAGAAAGCAATACCTCTTTATAAAGTACCAAGCAGGAGGACTTTTACAAGACTACTTGATGCCAAATACGATATTCTTAGTGCCCGTATGCAGGATATATTTACTAAAGTTCAACGGTTTAATCTGACTGCCGACATATGGACCGATAAGCATACCAACAGCTATCTTGGCGTCACGGTGCATTTCCTATCAGGATGTGAAATGATAACAGCAACAATTAGCGTCACACCTCTGGATGCACCTCACGACATCCAGTACATCTCGAAAATGTTAGAGAAAACGTGTCATGAATGGGACATAGACAAAGACAAGGTATGATACTCTTGCTCTAGATTTTGATTTTATTGCATTAATGTTGTCTCGTTCTCTCATAAATCGGTAAGGCGCAACCAAATTTCATATTTAATAAAATATATGTTTACTTCTACATAGATTAAACATATTGTCACTGACAATGCAGCTAACATTGTCGCGGCAACAAAAAATGTATTTGGCCCTTTCAAACATGTAGGTTGTTTTGCACATATGTTAAATCTAGTGACTGAGAAAGCTATTGAGGCAACCCCTGGCCTTAGTGATTTGATCAACAAAGTAAAGTCAATAGTAACTTTCTTTAAACACAGCGTTAACGCCTCTGATCAGCTTAAAGCGATCCAATTGCAAAACGGCCGTACAGAGGGCACTTTGCTTAAGTTGATACAATCAGTATCCACTCGCTGGAATTCAACATTTGCTATGATTGATCGATTCATTGAGTTGAGTGATATCGTGGGAACATTACTTTTGAAGTATCAAAATGTAAACATGCTCAGTGGAAACGAACTATTGGAGCTGAAAGAATTGAGTCGCGTTCTTAAACCATTTGATCATGCAACAAGAGACTTGAGCTCAGAAAAAACTACTTCTATTAGTAAGATAATCCCAATGATAAATCTTATGAAACAGGTTAGTATTGTTATTAAGTATGAATTGGCACGTTTGCCATTCCATGAGAATTGTATAATATTTAAAATTAAATGAATCATTATCACATCTGCTTGAAATCTCATCCCAACGAGATAAGATGTAACAATTCTCTCATTCTCGTTGTTTACTGTCTGATCTCACATCGAGCTACATATTGTTTCAGCTTCTAGTCAACATCGAAGTGCCTGTTGACGCGAGCGTGACTATTGCTTTGAAGAAGCAGCTTGTGAAACAAATAGATATACGTTTTGGCCAAGCTGAAAATGTAGAAACATTTGCGTTGGCAACCATATTAGACCCTCGCTTCAAGAAAATGTACTTTCGTGAATCCCTCGCTCATGCCAGAGCAGTATCCAAACTCACAGCTAAGATTACGGAGATGCAAAGGACAGAGGCAAAATTGGTAGCAGAGCCGTCAACCCTAGTTATGGCCAGTGATGTTGAAAACCTATGGAGTCTGCATGACATTATGGTGGCTAGCACCAGCTCGCAAGAGTTGAACAATTTTAGTGACAATTCTGAAGAATTAAGATTATATTTAAACAGCCCTCTTGCTACTCGTGATACGAACCCGCTCCAAGTCTGGGAGACTTTGAAAGAGATGTATCCTCATCTATATCAGATAGCTCGAGATTATCTGTCCAGAGTTGCCACTTCTGTTCCAGCAGAAAGACTATTTTCGAAGGCCGGTTCAACGGCCACTGAACGACGGAACAGGCTTACTGGCAAGCGTCTTTCAAAGTTGCTTTTCATGGCTTCACTGGAGGAATCTTTTTTCTTTTAATGATAATAAATTAAACAATATCTATATTTTATATATATATATTTTATATCTATATTTTAATAAAGATTTAAGATAATGAATCATTTCAAAATTATGTACACTTTTTTTGTATTTTATTCCTAACTTTCCAAAGTTTGTCAGTTCTTATGGCTTCCGTACACTGGATGCAATGCTTACTGCGAGGAAGTTGATGCAGTAGCCAATCATTCTTTGGCTTTTCGGGAATCGTTACGGAAAAGCTGTAAATTTATTTGTTATCACGTCAATTTCCATCGAGCGGCAAATGTTGTGCGGGAGCCATTAAGGGGATGCTAAACCGATTACCCAACTCAATCAAGGTCGATAGTACAGACTTTTTTAATTCCAATTTCGATAATAGTGGCGACATCTTTGATTTAGTTTTTACATTATATTATATAATATATATCATTCTGTCTTACTCAAACGCATACATCTGTTCTTATCTAACATATGCCAGCA